GAAGACGAAGGCCGGATTTACTATACTAACGATTTTTCCTCGAATTTGCGGTAGCGGCGTTAGTTACTATTTCTTAGCAACCCGAATCTCGTCTATCTTCTTCTGCAACGAGGGGTCCTCCTTAAGAGACTGTTATACTATTTCTCGTAGCCTCTTTAAAGGGTTGATTCCTTCGGGTCGGTTTTCCTCGAAGACCTGCCAGCAGTCTTCTAGCCGATGGGGCTTTTTATATGCTTAGTAGGTAGGTCGATTCCTTCTCGTACGTTGTCTCTTCGAGGAATCCTCGTCCCGGTCCGGAAGGTCTGCTTGAAAACCCCTTTTACCTTTATTGCTAATGTTGACGAGGTTCGATTTAACTAGTTCCCCGATTTTTTCGACTAACGGACTAAAAGGTCCATTGGGGGACTAGTCGGGCCGGTCCGACTAACGGACCGGGGCCGGGCCTGAGTAAGAGGCGGAGCGGGGCCGGGCCTAGGCAGCCGTTGATGACGGTGTTGATGCCTCGAGGGAGAGGAGCCGAAGGAGCAACAGCCGCAGCAGCAGGCGGGAGCCGCAGCAACAGGGGCTGCAGCAGCCGCAGGCAGCAGGTCGAGCCGTCTGGTCGAGTGCTGGCCAGGAATAAGACTGCTTGCTGCTGTACTCTAGCAGCCTCTTCGTCTCAGTTCCCGGCCAGCCTCTCGAAAGATAGTCGAGTAACCGTCACTAATAGGCTTTATTAGCAGAGATATATCCCGCAGCCACTGGCCGGAAAGAGCTTCTATGAGGAAGTATTGCTTCCTTAAGGATTTCTTCCTACTTAGCTAGCCACGAAGAAGCTAGCAGGTTCCTAGCAAAAAGGCTCCTAGGTAGGCCGTATAGGTCTTCCTAATACGGTTAGTCATAGCCCTCGAGGGAGCTGTCGAGGTCTCGAGCTAAAAGCTACTGCCTAGGAGTCTCTTCCTCTCGAAGAGTGATTAGCTTTGCGGCACTAACGGATTCCGTTATCGCCGTGCGTGCAGCAGTTAGCAGCTTCGTTTCGTAGAGGTATTCCTTTCGGACTCTCGTAGTCGCCTAAGGCAGCAGAAAAGCTCTGTTGTGCGGAGGTAAGCTCGAGAAGAGGCTCCTCTGCAAAATCCGTTGCCCTAGGACGAAGAGGGGGCTTAAGAGGGTCCTGCTTGTCAGAGAAGACCAAATTATGGATGGTTCTGTCTACACGAGCCCGTAGCTCCTTTACCTACTTATCCTAATCTTGGGGCTCTGCAAGAATCGTCCTACGGACCGTAGGGACGGCAGAGGAGTCGATTTTCGTCATCGTTGCGAAAGAAGAGGGGGGGCAGAAAAGTCGGTTAAAAATCGGCTTTTCTAGTAAGAGGGGTAAAATGAAGCCACGAGGGATGCAAGAAAGGTGCCTTTTGCAGTAGCCGGAAGGTATAGGAATACTATTCCTCCCGGGCTCATAACTCTCGCGAAGAGAGATACGAGAAGTGCATAAAAATGCACGAAGGTAAAATTGGAAGTAAGGGGTCGGACAGGTAGGGCAGAGATGTTTGAATCTTGCGGGGGCAGCAATTGCAGTAGGGGAGTGATTGTTGTATTGCCTTAATTGTCCTTCTTTCCTCTATCTAACGCCCCTCTTTATACCCTTCTAGCATCTCAATTAACAAAGAAGATCCTGCTTAAAGAAGCCACTAATGTCCTTTCGACTACCGAGCTTTTTGCCGGTTTTTCCCCTCCTTTCCAGCCGTTGCCGGCACATCCGTCTTATCTCTCGCTACCTCTATAGGAAGCTATCGCCACTTCTGCTTCCCCTCATACCCCCACCCTCCTTTCTACACCTTTTTTTAGCTCCTTCTTCCTTCTTCTACACCGGGTGTTTTTCAGCTTCCTTGGTCCCTCTTGCTAAGGGATATCTCCGAGAACTGCGAAATCAGGCCACGCTTCGCAACAAAAGTTAGCTTAGGTTAACTATTTAAAGAGGCTATAAAATATAAGGTCTATAACTAAAGCCTCTTTTAAGCCTTTTTTTTAATAGGTACCTTTAATAGCTACCTTAAGGTTTATTAGTAAGGAAGCTTTATAGTAGTTAAGCTAGCTAATAAGGGCTTTTATATTATAGGCCTTAAAAGGTTTTATAAATAAGTTTTACTAAAAGTAGTATAAATTAAAGTCCCTTACTAATAAAAAGGGCTATTATAAGAGCTAAGCTATTAGTAGTAGCCTTTTTATTATAAGAAGCCCTTACTAGCTTTAGCTAGCTAAGGCCCTTTTAACTTCTTTTTTATTATATAGGTTAATAAGGATAAATAGTTTAATACCTTTTACCTTTATAGCCTATATATTAAGATTATAAAAAATATTAAAGCTAGGGCTAGCTTTTATTTAAGCTTCCTTTCTTTTATAAGCTATAACTTTAGGCCTCTTAATAAGCTTAAGAAAGTTAGTAAAAGAGATAAAGGTTATAACGTTATAAGCTAAATACTATATAAAGATATAGTTATTATTAATCTTATAAAAGTAAGGCTCTTATAATAAGATAAGGTTTACTTTTATTTCTAAGGCTTACTTTAAGATTAATAGGTTAGCTATTTCTTACTTATTAGTATTATACTATATAATATTAATAAGGTTATAGTTAGGCCTAAGGGGCCTAAAGGGCTTTAAAGGCCTTATAAGTATAAAGGGGCTAAGGCTATTAAGTATTAGTTATTCTCTTTTAGACTTTATATTATACTTTATTAGTTATAAGGTACTCTTTCTTATAGTTATAATATTAAACCTTAAAGTAAGAATAGCTTTAGCTAGCCTTATAGCTAAGGTAGTTATAGTCCTTAATTAAGTACTTTTTTAAGTAAAAGGTATACTTAATAACCTATTAGTAAGTCTAAGGGTTATAGCTAAAAGAAAGGTACCTATAATACTATATATATATAGTATATTCCTTATAGGCCTTAACTTAAATATATAGACTTATTATATAAAGGCCTTTTTTTTAGTATTTAGGTTTTATAGCCTTTAAAAGGACTGTAAAGATAATAGATCTTACTTTTTATATTAAGCTTAAGGTACTTAGTTATCTAAGCTACCCTAGGATATCGATCCTACTAAAGGTTTTAGCTTTTATAATAAAGATATTAAGGATAAGGGTCTTTAAAAGATTAAGGACGCTCTAAGCTACTAGCTTAGTCTAGCTAGTAAGAAGGTTAACTAATTTAATAGGTAGCTCCTTAAAGTATAAGGACTATTTCTCTTACTACTTTAAAAGCTTCTTTATTATATATAAAGCCTTTATCGTTATAATTATATTACTTTTATTTAAAGTTAATAGAGCTAATATAGCTAGTTCCTTTATAGCTTAATTAAGCTTATTATAAGAAGTAATAAGGTTAATAGTTAGTATTAGCGATTCCTTTTTTTGTAACGGGCAAGCCGCTTTAACGGCGGCTGCGCCGCCTAGCTTCTAGAACCTTCCATTGGCTCGAAGCTATAAAATGCTATTGTGCTCTCATGTAGTAGATTCTCTTTCTTTCTTTCTTTCTTCTCTATCTTGATAGTAAACAGCATAGGGACTAGTTAGTTGTATCAACTCACTAGAGGCCTTTCACATACTATCAAGATCACTGAAGACATTGAAGACACTGAAGACACCGAAGACACTGAAGACACCGAAGACACCGAAGACACTGAAGACACCAAACTGAGTCCCGTCGAACTATTAGCGTTCAGCGAAGTCGCGATGGCCGAAGATAACAACAACATGCAGCCGGACGTCCTCAGCGCCCTGGTTGCCGAGATACGAAGTCTGAGAGAAGAGAGTTCCGAAGAAACACCCAGTTTGAAGAACGTTTTATTGCCCTGAACCAACAACACCAGCAAGCCCGTTCGTCTGAACTCCTAGAGCCAACGCCATCTGTCACCCCGGCTGTCCCATTGAGGACACTCGTGTGGTCGCCACTCACAACCCTCACCAACCAAGCGCCCCAAATTACGAGACATACCGAAATTCGGCGGCGACAAGCCCAGTGGCGAAGCTGGAAACTAGAAACCGAAGGAAAGCTACGAGTCGACAAAGAAGCCCTTGAGATGCAGAAGGCCACTTTATGTACATCTTCATGAGCCTAGAAGGCAAGGCTAAAGACAACGTGACCACATTTGTGGAGATGCAAACCGAGAAGAAAACGTTCAATGTTGCTGAACTACTCAACCGCCTCGAATTGCTGTACGGGAGAGGGATCGCAAGCAGAGAGCTACACGCAACCTGCATTCGATTAAGCAAGGAGAGAATGAACCGTTCACGTCCTTTTACCCCCGCTTTGAGAGGGAGATCGCCAATGCCAACGCCGAGTATTGGCCAGATGACAGCAAGATTTCCTACCTCCAGGAGGCACTAAACGATAAAATGAAAGCAGCCCTCATAGGCTCTGACCCTCTGCCATCAGCAGCTATGTTGGGCTGGCGAGGAGTGCGATTCGCTGAGCAGCCAGATGGAATTGTTGGGTCAGTGGAAAGGCCTCGAGGCAACACAAAGAGTTCGGACAACTATGACAACCACCAGAATCATGGAGGCCAGGCTGCCCAGAAACAGCCTGGCCAGAAAACCGAAGTTAGACGAGAGGATATGATGGAATGGGAACCAACTCTACAAGCATCCGCGAAAGTGAACGCTGCGCGCACCCGCAGTGATAAGAACACATATGGTTACCAATCCAAGCGACCAGAAGACCAAGCGCTGTTGGGCAAGCGTGCCAAGTGGGTCGACCAGGCCGAGATGGACGCCCGTTACCGTGAAGGGCGTTGCCTCCGTTGTGAAGAGACAACTGCAGAATCGAGCGCTGTCCATTGGCTGCGCCTATCCGACCCGCAAACACGACCCGACGCACTCAGGTCAATGCCGTGACCCCGTCACGACCAGCGGTCACTAAAGCCGAGGTCGCCGAAGACGATACTCTTCTCATAACGATGAAGATTCAGACTAGGGACACGCGGCGGCTGTGAGAGAATGGGATGTGAGCGGAAAAGCAAAAATGGACGGAGAACCGTTCATAGCAGACGTCAGGGTGAACGGCACAGACTTCGTGCCATCTCTTGTCGACTATGGCTGCCTCTGCTACGGCGCGGTTAGCAAGCGCACATTTCACTCTCTCCAGTTGCCACATATACGCGTCCAGCCGCGCATCTTGGAGAATGCAGCGGGAGACGGCAAGGAGGTCAAAATCGACAAGATCACGTATGTGTCGATCGACCTCGATGGACATCAGCAGCATCGTGTTTTCATGTACGTCATCGACGATCTGAACTGGGATATGATCCTGGGTAAACGATGGATGGAAGACCAGGATGTTCACATCCATGCGAAGGAAGGATATCTCGAGATCGGGTCCAATGGAGTTCAAGTACGAGACCGACGACGTTACCAGCCTCCACAGCTAGATGTCTCTAATGTCATGGCCGCAACCTTTTAGCAGAAGCACGCCGTGACAAACGCAAAGGCGGCATTGGAGTTCACTCGGTCACGATGGCGGATATTGACAAGGCCCTAAGACCGAAACCGAAGACTGACGTAATGGAGAAGCTGCCACCACAGTACCACAAGTGGTCTCGAGCTCTCAGCAACTGGCCGACCAGCTGCCCCTCATCGGCCAGGTGTGGACCTGAAGATCGAAGTGCTGAAAGACGAGCATGGCCGAGAGAAGCCCTACCCTGGGGACCGCTTTACAGCATGTCCCGCGAGGAGCTATTGGTACTACGGAAGACTCTCACAGAACTACTCGACAAGGGATTTATTAGAGTCAGCAGCTCGCCAGCCGCGGCACCAGTCCTTATGGTGAAGAAGCCCGGCGGAGGCATCCGCTTCTGCGGATTACAGAGGTTTGAACCATATAACGAAGAGGGACCGCTATCCCTTGCCCTTACTGAGCGAGACCTTGCGAACGATAGCCAAGGCAAGGTGGTTCACCAAGGTAGATGTTATAGCAGCGTTCCATAAGATCAGGGTCGCCCCGGCGACGAGGAAAGACAACTTTCAGAACGCGCTATGGATCCTTCGAATGGCTGGTAGTTCCATTCGGCCTGACAGGCGCACCAGCAGCCTTTCAGCGGTACATTAACAGCGCGCTCCAGGATTACCTAGACGATTTTGTGTCAGCATATATCGACGATGTCCTGATCTTCTCCTCTGGAAGCCTGCAAGACCACCGCGACAAGGTCGGCAAGGTCCTCCAACGACTGATGGACGCCGGGCTGCAACTGGATATCAACAAGAGTGAATTCGAAGTCAAGGCTGTGAAATACCTTGGGTTTATCATCGAGGCGGAGTGTGGGATCCGAGTCGACCCTGAGAAGGTTGAGGCTGTGAAGGAATGGGCAACCCTGACGAATGTTAAGTCCGTGAGGAGTTTTATTGGATTCGCGAACTTCTACAGGATGTTTATGCCAGAGTTCTCGGTGATAGCGGAGCGCTAACGCGGCTAACGAAGAAGGACGCCATTCCGTTGGGATGAATTGTGCGAAGAAGCCTTCGAGAAGCTCAAGGACTTGTTGATCACGGCCCCGATCCTTGCACACTTCCATCCAGAAAGGGAGACTATCGTGAAGCAGACGCTTCAGGATTCGCGTCGGGAGGCGTGCTCTGCAGCAGATGATAAGGATGGACTGGTACGACCTGTCGCATACTTCTCGAAGAAACATTCGGCAGCCGAAGCGAACTACGCTATCCATGACAAGGAGCTACTCGCCATTCTCAGATGTTTGGAGCAGGGAAACAGAGCTACGGGCAGTAGAGCACTTCAAGATCCTAACGGACCACAAGAACCTGAGGTACTTCTACTCGGAAAGGAGGTTGACAGAGAGACAAGTGCGGTGGTCGGAGTTCCTGTCCAGGTTCCAATTCGAGCTCGAATGGAGGCCGGGCCGCAAGGGCGGATTGCCTGACGCACTCTCTCGACGGGACCAGGATATGCCGGCCAACTACTCCGATGAACGACTAAAGGGACGCATTATGAGGCTATTCCAAAATGATCACCTTAGAAGGGTCCCAATATCGACATTGTCTACCAACACCGAGGGTGCCCAGGAAATCAACTTCGGAAAAGAGATCAGGATATTTGAAGATGAGGAGTTACAGCAGCTGTGGCACGCCGCACGGCAAGAAGACAAGCTTTATCAAGAACTCACGAAGCTGGTAGCAGATGGAGCGAAGAGTGTGCCAACAGACTTACAGAAGGAGAAGGTTGTCAGCATTTCAGAATGCTCATTAGACAATAGAGGCCTGCTGTGCTTTAGAGAACGCGTCTGGATACCCGGTTCGGAGCCGCTACGTACAAAGATCATCCAGGAAACTCACGACTCTCATATCACCGGACATCCTGGAAGGGACCTCACGTACTCGACTCTGTCGAGACGCTTCTTCTGGCCGGGTGCCGCTAGCGATGTACGTCGGTTTGTGCGCAACTGCGAGGTTTGCGGACGAAACACCATCTGGAGGGATACAAAGAAAGGACTCCTAAAGCCGCCCCTATTCCGCAACGCATATGGAGCGAAATTACCATTGACTTTATTACTGACCTCCCACCGTCGGGGAAAGATGGCGCGACGAACTGCATGGTGGTCACGGACCGACTCACCAAAGGCGTCGAACTCGAAGGATTGAACGATATTTCCACAGAAGCGGTTGCAAGAAGACTCTTCGAACGACACTACCCGTCCATGGCATCCCAACGGCTATAACCAGTGATCGGGGTCCCCAGTTTGTCAGTGGTATGTGGAAAAGTTTCTGTCAGATGCTAGGATCGAGCAGCGGTTGTCGACGGCGTACCATCCACAAACCGACGGTGCAACAGAACGAATGAACCAAGAGGTAGAGAGGATTCGGATATGGACGAATTATCTGCAGGAGAACTGGTTAGACTTGCTTCCAATCGCGATGGCGACTATTAACGAGAGGGAAGCAACCTCCACCGGACTGAGTCCGTTCTTCTTCATGCACGGCTACCACAACGAGCCAATCCAATTAGTTGAGCATCGAAGAACGGAAGACACGACGCAGGGGGAAGCGACAGCGGAGGATTTTATTCAGAGACTACAGGACGCCACGGAGTTTGCGCAAGCAGCGATAGCTATGGCCCAGGAAATACAGCAAGCGCAAGCCAACAAGCACAGGACAGCCGCACCGAGATACGAGCCTGGGGATTGGGTATACCAACTTGAGAAATGTCAAAACATCGCGACCCTGCAAGAAGCTCGATTGGCTACATGCCAAATATCAAGTGCTCGCGGAAGTTAGCCCACATGCCTACAGGTTGGATGTGCCTGGGCGCATCCATCCAGTCTTTCACGTCGACCTACTCCGGCCAGTCCCCGGAGACCCATTGCCACGCAGAAACTCGATCAAGAGAGTGCCCCACCGGTGCTGGTGGACGGCGAAAAGATGTACCTTGTTGAAAGAATTCTGGATGAAAGAATGGAAGGTACGCATAAGAAGGTGCTCGTAAATGGCATGATTACTCGCAGCCTACGTGGAACCCCTTACTACTATTCGACACACCGATGCATGGAAGCAATGGAAGAAGCATAAAAGGAGTGTCACCTTCTCAAGTCATCTTGCCACAGATTGCCACGACCCCGGAAGAGGAAACGTTGGAAGGGAGGAGGTAATGTAACGGGCAAGTTGCTTTAACGGCGGCTGCGCCGCCTAGCTTCTAGAACCTTCCATTGGCTCGAAGCTATAAAATGCTATTGTGCTCTCATGTAGTAGATTCTCTTTCTTTCTTTCTTTCTTCTCTATCTTGATAGTAAACAGCATAGGGACTAGTTAGTTGTATCAACTCACTAGAGGCCTTTCACATTTTTAGCTTTAAGATAAGTTAAAAGTTTTTTTTTATATTCTTCTTAGCTAGGGCCTTAGTTAAGGCTTTTACTAAGGCTTTTACTAAAGCCTTAGCTAGGGCCTTAAGCGCTTTCTTTATAATAACCTTAGCTTATAAGCTTACTTTAAGGTTTCTTTAAGTAGTCTTAAGCTACTAAGTAGCCTTAAACTAGTATAGGGGCTATTATAAGGGCTATTAGTAGTCTAGGGTCCTTATAGCTACCTTCTTAAGCCCTTTTATAAGGGTCTTATAAAAGGGTTTAATTTTTTAGGCCTCTTTAAAGGCTTAAAAGGCTTACTAAAAGAATCCTTAGGCCTAGTCCCTAAGAAAAAGGTACTAGGGCTAGGGCTAGGTCTATTATAAGTATTAAAATATAGGTCGGATAAGTATAAGGCTAATAGGGCTATTAAAGGTAGCTTTCTTTTACCTTTTTACTTACTTTAAGGGCTAGCTAAGCTAGAAGTAGCTAGCTTAAAGTAAGGCTAAGCTAGGCTTAAAGAGGCTAATTATAAGAAGGTATAAATAATAAGCGTAGAATTAGGTAATTAATAACGTAAGCGGAAAGATCGGTCGAAGGAGTATAAGGTAGGATTTTATCTGGAATTTATAACGAGTATATAAGGGGCTAAATAATATATTAAAAGAATAGCGTTGCAAAAGATATATACTAACTTACTTATACTATCTACTACTCCTAGGGAAACCCTTTGTCTTTTATAGACTATTACTCGCCTACTAGTAGACTAATTAGTTAGCGTTCTAGTATATTCTATAGTACTTAAAAAGCCCTATCTATAGTATATCTTCCTAACTTAGTAGGAAGTCTAATTATAGCGTAATAGTTAACGTAAGACTATAGGTTCTAGTATAAGTAGTAGATTTAACTAGAATATTCTATGCCCTACCTATTCTTATATTTATAGATATCTTTAAAACTACTAAGCTAAAATAGGTAATAGGGTATCTATTCTACTTATAATTAACTTATATATCTTATATATATTTTTATTTATAAGGATAGGCTTATCCTAACCTACTTTCCTTAAAGGAAGGTATAGATATCTAGTAGAGGTCTTTATTTTTAAGGGTTATTATTACGACTATAGTTAGCGGGCCGTAGGAGAGCCGGCTACGTTTATATAATAAGGCAGCTCGGAATAATAGTTAGGACGAGAAGTTACTTAGGCTTAGCTATTACCAGAGCATAGCTAAGTAAGCCTTATATAGATAGATTATTTAGGAGCATAGCTTATAAGTAAGCTATAGTAAGCTACGAAGGATTACGCTAGGACCGTGATTTAAAGATACTCTATAGGTATATATAGCTACCTACTTTTACTTCTTTAGATAGATAGCTTCTAGCTTTTAATATAGATCTTTATTACGATTCTATCTTAATTTTAATTACCTAGTTATAGTCTATAGTCTATAACCTCTAACTTATTACTAACGTAATATACTTATTATTACTTAGACTACGCCCTATTATATCTACTAATATAAACCCTCGATAGGTTTATCTTTAGAATAATACCGGTCGTTATATCGTTAAAAGCTCTTATTTAGTATAATGTTACTTCTAAGTAATATCGTAACTATTAATATACCTATATAGTAAGCTAGATTAACTAACTCTAGAGCTACTATATCGCCTTAGGATATAATGCGCGAGATTATTACCCTTCGATATAAGGTATAGTTACTTAGGAACGGAGGGTAATAATAAGTTAGGGACCTTAGAAGTAGTTAAACTAAAGCAGCTAGGACTATTCGACGGTACTTATAGTACTCTTTAAGACTTTCTTACTTAACTTAAGGCCTACTACCGGTTCTACTTAATAAAACTTTTAAACCCGGTCGAAAAGGTACTTTATATAGGAAATTATTTATTTAGAACAGCACTCGCTTAGTTTAGACCTATTATAAGGGACTATCTCGATAACTAACTAGTATAACGAAATAGTAAAATAGACAAAGTCTTTACTAGTTTCTAAGGATTTAAAGAAGCTATTACTAAGGTATTTAAAATAACTAATAAAGAACGAGAAGCTAAATAGAAACTTTAAGAACTCTAATAAAGGACCTTAGTATTAGACTATACTACTAAATTCTATTAAGTTACCTTAAAAGTTAAATAGGACGACGAACCCCTTATATCGCGATTCTATAACGGACTTAAGGAAGAAGTTAAGGACGAACTCTATAAGGAAGATCGACCTAACGGCCTCTTAAACTATATCGCTATAGTAGTATAAATCGATAATAGATAGTATACGCGACGCTAAGAAAAGAAATAAGGAAGAGGAAACTAAAACCCTTCTTATAAGAATAACTTTAACTAACGCGCTAACTATAAAAAAAAGCGCGAAACTCTTATTACCTATACTTATATAACTAACCTAAGTAAGATAGATCTAAATATAATATAGAAAAGTAAAGGAAAGTATTTTAATTATAGGAAACTTAGATATTACTTCTAAAGAATATAGATAACCTTATAAGGAGAAGAAAACCTACTAGCACTAGCCCTAAAAGGTAAGAAATACTTAAACGCTACTAATAGATAGGAACTAAAGTATAAACTCCTTAGTTAGACTA